TTTTTTCTTTTTTTATCTTTTTTGTTTCCCGAAAAAAAAAAGACTTTGTTTTTTGTTTTCCATGAAAAAAAACAAAAGACGAGAGAAAAGACTTTTGTTTTATTTGCGGAAAAAAAAAAAAAAAGACTTGTGTTTTTTTTGTCCATGAAAAAAACAAAAGACGAGAAAAAAAAACAAAAGAAAAAAGAAAAAAAAACAAAAGACGAAAACGACAGATTGATTTCCGAATGTTTTTGGGTCAGAGCGAACTTTGCGCTAGAACACGGTCAGATGCAGGCAGACCAATATTTGGTACTCGGTCCGCGAGAAAACATGGCGGTCGTATCTGGCCATGTTCTAGCGGGAAGTTCATTCTCATTTTGCACATTTCGGGGGTGGTGTGGCGATGTCCTCTTTTTGTCTCTCTCTCTCTCTCTCGCTCTCTCTCTCTCTCTGTGTCTCTCACACACACGGACAGACACACACACACACACACACAGAGACACAGATAGGACGAAGTTTGCATGTCTGTCTGTGTGTGTGCGTGTGTGTCAGAGAGAGAGAGATCGAGCAATAGTGTGTTTGTGTGTGCGCATGCGAGGGTGTGTCAGAGAGAGAGATCGAGCAAGAGTGTGTTTGTGAGTGCCCGTGCGTGGGTGTGAGAGAGAGTGTGCAGACAAGTCTGTGTATGTGTGCGCGTGGGTGTGTGACAGAAGGTGAGTGAGGTGAAGACTCTGCATCGCTAGTGGCACGAGCCGAGACAAGGGTGGGCCGTGTAGCTATGGCGCGCGTGTCTCGAAAAAAATAAAAAAGGAAAACAAAAGGGAAAAAAAAGGAAAAAAAAGGAAAAAAAAGGAGGAAACTTGCCTGTGTCTCTCTGTCCCCCTCTTCCTCCTCTTTTTCCGTCTTTCTCTCAAACTCTGTTTTTTCTCTCTTTGTCTCTCTTTGTGTCTCTCTCTGTCTCTGTCTGTCTGTCTCTCTCTCTCTCTCTCTCTCTCTCTCTCTCTCTCTCTCTCTCTCTCTCTCTGCGTACCAAATATTGAGACAAAGGTGGGGCGTCGATGCAGGTACGGTAGATGCGCTCTGTCTGTCTCTATCTCTCTCTCTCTCTTTCTCTCTCTCTCTCTCTCTCTCTCTCTCTCTCTCTCTCTCTCTCTCTATCTATCTATCTATCTATCTATCTATCTATCT